TCAAATTGATTCACACTTTCCACCATTTAATTATGTATCAGTGCTAATTTCTGATTTAGCTATGCATCAGTTATTTTGCCAATTATAAATCCTTCTTTTTTGATTCTACTTATTGATGAATTAATTTACTTATTTTATAGTCTTAACTGCATCTTACTTAATTCATTGCTTTCTAATAATCTCTTCTTCTCTGAGCCCTCGATAAGATACAGTCCACATTTGAGTCGGCCCCTAGGATTTTGCAGAAGCGGAGAGATAAACATGTTTATCATGCATACCCCGTATATATGTATAGTAAATGTGACACACAACCACATGCGGGTAATCACTAGCAATCACTGCCATTTTTCTTCAACTACTTTAAATACCCACATTACTACACCAACAATAGCTGTGCTTGAAAAATCAAACTGTATCCTACAGAGGTAAACCTATGTGCAGCTGTGTATTGGAATTCTAGCATAGAGCATTGATTTTCTGAATGCTGGAGGTTGAGCTTATGGAGGGTAAATACACAATATATTGAGAGACTTGCTCTCCCTAAAACTAGAAGTACTGCTTCTGCAGACAAAAGAACTTAATGTAAACTCACGAAAATCTGTTTGAGATTGCTGTAAAGCACAGTACTACATCCAGGCACATATTCTAAAGCCCCTAATGGAAATTATTGTATGAGAAAATGTTTTTTTCAATACCCAAGAATTTCCATCATCAACAGATAACGTGTTTATCAAATCTTACTACAGTGGGGTGCTTATGTTTCCTCTGTGGACAGGTGCATTGCCTTAAGCTGTAAACTCCTCCCTGAGAGAGAACAGCAGAAAATAAATCAAACATTCATATGCAAGTAGGCTCCACTGTTAGGCTGCCGTTTGTATTCTTCCCCCTGGTTGGCTGGCCTTTCTCTCGTGAATATCAACAGGATGTGTTGACTCCGCATGGCTGGGATGCAGTGTTGAATTAGAGCTGTGGTTTCAGGCATGGCAACAGGAGGAACAGGAGGGGTCCTGAAGGAACAGGCTGCAGTCTATTTTGGGTCTTTTTGTTTAACCCAATTATGGTGTCAGTGTGTGCTTACTGAACCAGCACCAGTCAGGTCATGCGTCTCCTTTGAAAAGTGGGACAACAACATTATGGACATGGAAATGTGAAGCAGCCAAAACAATGGCGGACTGTTTTATGCGTTGAGACAAGGAGAAAATGTGTGGAGAATGAAAAGAGAGGTTCGGGTTAACATACAATAACAGCTTAGGTGTGACCTTGGCGGCTATCGTCCGTGTCACTGCTTCCATCTGCCAAACAATCCTGGAGCAAAATAGACAAATCACATTTTTAGCTGGATGGCTTTCCACATCTTCATCTATTTCAAAATGAAGGTAGATCCAAAGATAAGCTTTCAATGGTGCCCTCAAGCCTGGTTGCAGTGACAATAAAAGCATAATGCCGGTAAATAAACGAAGACACAGCAGCGCCACCTGAGGCCCTGTTGTCTGAAATCAGTGAGTTTCAATTTGGAGAGTTTTTCTTTGCAAGTAAATGAGGTAATCATTTGTGAGAAGCCACTGGAGAGGCAGAATATGAAAACCTGGCTGCTTGTGGGAGGCATGGCTTTGAAAAGAATCCCATCCATGAGCTGCTCTGTTTAACTGCACTGATGCGCTTTTCCCTCAGCATCCGCCCTCCAGCCATCCACCTGAGAAAGCACTTTAGAAGCTACTGAAGTAGGGCAGATGACAGTTTTGCCTGTGTTTCTGTTTTGTCAGTTCTACCGTATGATATCATCTTCAGCCCCAATGCCGCTCTCAGATCTCAGATATCATAGCATCGTCTGAATGCATTTCATCATTCACTTCCACTGGCAGACTCCTACAGCACTTCACTACTCCTGTGTGGCATAGATTTTGTTAATTTAATCTCACATCATCTTAATTTAATATCAAGGAGACAGGAAGGCCGCCTGTGTAATTAAGTGATACATTAACCCACATTATTGAGATGAAGTCAGTGTGTTTGTGTGTGTGCTCCAGCTTTCATATATATGTCTATATATATATATATATATATATATATATAAAGGTAGATCCAAAGATAAGCTTTCTTATATATATATCTGTATATACACGTTTGTATTTTTTATTTCCACACACAGCCACTGATCTACTATCACCGCTACACCTCTAATAATTATTATATTATTATTGAACACCAACATTTCAACACACATGCCTGATATGATACTAATCATGCAACCATAGCTACCGAAAAGAGCCAAACTCTCGTTACTACCGAGTTGTGTAATCTGTAGAGACATGGGATTGTTGGGAGTATTCACTGTGTGTGTCGGTGAAGTGAAAAGCGGATTCCTGCTGTCTCCATGGTGTGGACAAACGTGTCGATGCCACGGACTTGGTGTCACCGTACCTCCGGGAAATCATTATTGTTCCAGGTAACGGTGAGTGATGCAGGAAGACTGGAGCACAGCAGATGTGGGGAATTGTTAGGAACTTTATTTGCCATTGTACCCTTCAACAGACATCACTCTTAATTAGGTCTCCATGGATAACTCTAGGCATCTGGACTTTTTGCCCATGAACGGACTGAATGATGTCCTTTTGTGCTCTCATTGCCACGCGCACATACACATACACACACTCCTCCTCCACTTTATTTCAAGCTTGTTTAAGTTACATTACACCAATGGCAGATATCTGGGGAGGCTGTTGGAGCTATCACTCCATCTAGTGGCTGGTTTAACTCGCATGAGAAAATTGGGGCTCTGCATTGCACACACTGCACCAGCAGCATGACTGTAGTGCCCCCTGTGAGCTTTTTGTTCCACATGCATGCACACGACCCGAGTGCTTCTCCAGAGCTACATCTCTGTTTAACTACGGTGATCCATCAGTCAACTCAGTGCCCAGTCAATCCATTTCTTTGCCTAACTATTCATTTATGCATTGACTCACATCGTCCAACATGTCATTGATTCCTCTGTATACAGTTTATATGCTCTCATTGGTCTGACCAGACACAATATGTAAAAATCAATAGAGCCTTGAAGAGCTTAGTAGACGTTGTGCTAGGGCTGTTTATCCGGCCGCAGTCTGATCTGATACAGAGAACGTGCACATAAAGAAATAAACACTAGACCTATTTGTTATAAATAACGGTTCCCACAAAAAGGTCTATTTTAAAGCTGCACTAATACAAATTTTTGTATTAAAAATGTCTCAAGTTAATAAGTTTAATAAGTAAATATGAAAGGTGTCGTGTCGTAGTGATAAACCAAAAACAATTATCACCCAACTCTGCATTTCTCCTCAGCTCTGCTTGAAGGAGGTTTTGGCATCTTTCAGTCCATTTTGTTGATTTTACAGCCCACAACCAATATTTTTTGGTTCACTATCACCACTCTCATCAGCCTTTTTTTCATACACTGCAGTGAGCTGTTTTTGGCAAAAAATATCTGATAAACCCCAGCTGCTCAGCATCAAACAGCTGACACATAAAGTTAGCGACTAGCTGGCGAACATAATGGAACATTTATCAGCTAAAGAGCCACATATTTTTCCTCAGGAGTTGGTGGAGAGCAAAACAAATGAATGCTAAAATGAATGCTAATGTTGCTCCATCTCTGCTGGATGTGTAAATAGGCAGCTATTTGCTAGCATGTTTATATATGTTAGTGGTGTTTGCATTTCCCCCAAGTGGCTTGCTTTTTTTAAATATAATTTTAACTTTGCATTCATAGAGAGATACATACATTCACATGTACACACATATTGAACTTACATAAACATTACCCCACATAGTGCTCACCCTATAACCCTCCCTACCTCCCCTGGGACCAGGAGTGCACTAAGTAAGACAAAAAAGACAAACGCAAATAAAAAAATAAATAATTAAATAATACCATAAAATAGAAATAAATCTAATGCAGGTAGTATATAGTAGGTAGTAGGTACAAAATATATATAGACATTAGTTGTGGGGTATGGAAGCAATAAGCTAAATAGGACAACATCAATCAATACTTTTACATATTTAATAAACGGGGACCCCAAGTGGCTTGCTCCTAGCTGGTAGTTAAACTACATTTATATTTGCATAGTGATTCAAGTAGTCAAGTTATTTTTTGTAATTTTTTGTAAACTTTACTGAAATTACTGCTGGATTGTCAGCTCATCTGTGAATAAGATTTGGCTTTAGTTTTAAATATTTTGATCGTTATTGATTGTTGCAATTTACTAACAAATGAATGAAGTTGTTGCATGCTATTTTAGAAGTTACGTGGCTAAATGACTAATCATGCTAGGTGCAATACTTCCACCTTCTACTTTCTGGAAGAGAGGTGTCTGACTGATGGATCATGTATACAAAACCAAAGCTGACATATCTTGCACTTTCCCATGAATAGTGGGTTATTTACATTATTATTATTATTATTATTATTATTATTATTATTATTATTTTGGTCTATGATGGTTTTTATGTATTGTATTTGGTTATAATTTAGTATCATATGTACATTGTCAACTTGATCATTTTTTTTTAACCACGTAGTTTCAGCTACTTTTTCTTAGTAGCTTTTGTTAATCAAACCAGATTCTCCCTAGAGAAGCTTTGCTGTAGTTCAACTTCCTCAGTGTTAAGTAATTGGTAGCTTGCAAAGCTATACTTTCAAAATAGCTTCCCAACACTGAAAGTTGTTTCATTTTAGTAGAAAATGTAGCTTGACCCTAATTGACCTTACTGTCTAATTTCATTCAGGCAGATACTTTTTAATAACATTTTCACTGTATATATATACTATATTGAAAACATTCATCGTTATATTAAAAAGACCAAATTAATTTTTCATCTGTTTTATTTACATTTAAAACATTTGAAGCAAATTGCAGGAATTAAAATTGAACATTCAAACATGTGCAGCATCAGTACCATAAAAAAACTAAATAAATGTGGAATGAACAAAGATTTTTTTTAGATTCACATTGTAGTAAAGTAAAACATTTAACATGATTAAGTGAGAGTATGTTCAAAATAAATATAATTAATCAATGAAATTTAGACATTGAATGTATTTCGATGTACCACTGAGGTAGGTGTTTAAGAAAAAATCATCAATTTCTCGCTGACTGATGCTGTTTTCTTCATAACAGCATGAAAGCATTAATGGCACACTGAGAAACAAATGAGGCACTATGAACAAATAAGAAATAAAAATATTCTTTTTCAGCAAACCGATCTTCCATACATGTTAGTTCAAGGCACCTAAAACCATATGTTTACAAATGGCTTTGTTATAAGGAATGATTGATGTGTTAAAGCTCATCAAGATATCTCTAAAATCTAGGTAATATTCCTTTAAATCAGCATGCCTTCTCATTTATAAAATTCTTGTGGCAACGACATTGATAAAGTGCTCAATAGTAAACTGTGGTCACTCAGCATTAGAAGAAAAATATACCTCCACTTCATTGTGTAAGTGTTGTCTGACACATTTTTAAAAAGTACCTTTTACATAAAATAGAAGACATCAGCAAAACATGAAACACAGTTGACAGCAGTGTTGAGAAATGAAGACAAAGCTGTGGTCTTCATCTACTTTATATTCTTCTCTACATTCAGAGTTAAGTCATGTGGGGAAAACAGTGTCTTCGCAAAGATGTCCTTTAAATGTCTTTGCTCACATTCTTCTTTGAATCCAGTGAAGGAAGATTGCCCTGACAATATGTCATACAAGTGGTAGTGCAGTAAGTCACAGACTTATTTCAGTACAGGTTTTCCTCAGCAAGTCCATCTGAAAGGAGACAGAAAAAAACATTAGTCAAATGTAACTTCAGTATCTGTAACCTGCACTGCATATATATTAGTGGAAATTAATTTGCTCAGTGGCTGTATTATTTGGTAGAAATTACCTTGCTGAAGGCCACTCTGCATATAGTGGTTGAGTTGATGCAACCCAGTGTTTTGGTCATGGCGTCCCAACTGCAAACTGAAGGGATCCATGACAGTGAACTGCTCTGCGGGCAGCGGGTCCTCCGGGATGGTCGGCGAGATACTGAGGGGCTCCTGCTCCAACTGATGGGACCCGCTCCTGCTGTGCAACAAGCCCTGCTGGTAGCTGTATGGTACAACACCGGAGTCGGACATGCAGCTTTTCCTTGTGACCATGTCCAGGTCTTTCAGGATGCTGTCGAACACGACGTCGTCAAGGACTGGGTTGCACTTAGAAGGAAGGACAGAGGACAGAGGAGGGTGACTGGTGGGCCAGTCACAGGCTGAGGGCAGGGTGTTAGTGGCTGCAGGTTGGGCCACATTTTGAAGCGGGTTCAGGGTGTGATACATGAAAAAGTTGCTGGCCAGGGAGGAGATCTGCTGAGCCAGAATACTGATCTCTGCCTGTTCCATCACATTGTAATTGGTAGACTCTGTGGATGTGGGAGATTGGTTGGGGGTAAGAAGAGTGGAGAGTATGGGCAACAATTGGGGAACATGATGTGCTTGGACAAGGCTGCCCCCTTGTGGCTGCTCGAGAAGGCTGAAGTCGTCTTGATGCAGAGCACAGTCCACTGGGCTCTCACACATGTCGGACACAGACAGGCAGTCTGGAACTAATCGAGCATCGGATGTACAGGCTTGGAAATCATAGGTCGGAGATGAGGAAGAGAGTGGAGAGCGAGCAATGAGTGCACCGAAGGCTGCCTGGTCAAAGGTTTGTTCAGCGGCCAGAGGGAGAGAGCTGGAAGGTGATTGGTGACAGGTGAGCTCCGCCTCTGGGTAGGAGTAATAGGAGGGAGATCCCTCAGGGGAGGAAAGCAGCTGATCCGTATATCCATGCACATCCATCAGGAGGTCATGGCTGAGCTCCTCCTGTTGCAAAGGGGAGCTGGAGGAGGCTGGGCTGTAGGGAGGGGTGAATAGAACAGGGCTGTCACCCAGGGGAACAGGTGAGCTATCACCTTGGGATGAGATGCACGCCACATAGTATATTTCTTGCTCGGACTCCCTCCTAGCTCTGGCACCTGGCGGCTCGTCACTTTGGCTGTTAGACGTCCTCTGCCTTTTAAAGCATTTATTGCTGTTGTAGCTCTGAGTGTGGGGCGCCTGTTGAGCTGCAAAATTGCAGGAATTTGCCAGAGATGATGGTCTGAAGGCATCACGGCTGATTTTGTTCTGAAGAAAACTGGCCTCCGTTTCACTACAAGAGCAAAACAAAGTATTCAGTCAGTGTCTGTGGCTTGAAAAGCGTTTACACTGTCAGCTCAGGTCTGCTGGAAAAGTGAAATTTGTCATACCTGATGATGAAGTTTGTGCAGCTCATGCCCTGGCAGTCCTTATTGGCTTGAATGTAGACCCAGGCCCATGACAGATCCTTGCACTGGAGTCTGAGCACCATCTCTACCTGGAAGCCTTCATCTGCCTGCACTGGACGGGACAGGGAAGAAACATACATGGTTAGTGCTAAATCTTTAAATGTGTCACTGTAAACCTGCAAAATCAGCACATAACTAAAGAAATTAAATAGAAATTAAAATCCTCTTTTTTTGTTCTCATGATTTTTAGTTTTGTGTTTGGAACTTCAACTTGTTAATCAATGCAATAGACTGTATAAGTATTCAACCAGTTTTCCTGCAATGGATCGCACACTTACTTAAACTTCTATGAGAATCTGCACTCGAGGAAAGATCTTCAGGGTGGACAAGACTGTACCACGATCGGCCAGTCATTTCTTCTGCCGAATAGCCCAAAAAATATATAACACTGAAAAAGAATGAGATAAAAATGTTTAACCATGTGTAACCAGTACAGGAACATTTTGATTATATCTGTTTTAAGCAGGGGTTTATGAATGTACCTGTCAGACAGCTGAGTAAAGGTCATATCCAGTCTGTGGACGCTGTCGAAGCTTTGACAGAAGTGGGAGTCCGAGCTCCGCAGGCGGTTGACTGTGGGGGTACAGAGGGCTACAAACAGAGGCTGGTTGGTGGGAGAGACCGAAGAGGAGAACGGACACGGCTGAGGGAAAGACTGGAAGCTCCCTCTGACCATCATGGAACAGCAGCTGCCGTGTTGCAGCTTGAAGGCCTTGGAGGTTTGCATGCAACATATAAAGCTCCTCTCTGAAGAAAGATAACATGTCAGTTTAGTCTTTCTGTTGTAAGAATGGGGTAGCAATTCTCACTTTACAATGAATTAAATTAAACAGAAGCCTACTAGGTGCAAAACAATTCTGCAAAGACTGGCAGCCTCTCCAGCTTCATTACAATTTACAATGTAAGTCACAGGGTCAGATTTTGGGGGGAAATTGATTTGATTTTGGCACAAAATAGCAAGATGTGACCTTCATTTTGGGAAGCATAGCACAAGAATACCAGTAACACGAGGCTACAAATCTCCATGGTTGTATTTGTGATAATTATATTATACACAGTTTAAAAAAGCTATTTTTAAGTGATATCGTAAGACTGTGAAGTTACCTGATGATGAATTGTTTTCAGTGTCCAGGTTTGATTTAACAATATCAATGTCACTGCGTTCCACCATGTCATAGAGAGTGTCCCCTTGGAGCACATCTACCTGAAAAAAATAAAAATAATAATGTTACCATTAAATAAAAAAGATTAAAGTCCAATATGCAGTAAGCCAAACAGTAAAGAAGATCTCCACATTGACTATGTATGTATCAAAGGACTCACCATGGAAAGACCAAGATATTCATCTACATTTTCGGACACATACACCAGCCTCCCCTGTGCGGTAGTGACCAGGATAAAGCCGTGCAGGCCTTGAAGAAAGGCCTCGTAAGGCAGAGAGCTGTGTGATCTCTCCCCAGTTTGGAGTCCTTAAAGAGGGAAGAGTGAGTTCAGCTTTGGTTCCACTCAGCATGTCGTCTCAGCTTTTATCTTTCATATAGTTTCAGCAGTACTGCAGATGTAGTCTCATTTCGTTTGACAGTGATTCAGGCTGAATGTAGATCAGACGCTCGAACATATTAAAGAATGACTGTAACTGAAGCGTGAAGACTTACCCTGGAAGAGAACAGACTTCCTGATGTAGGTGCAGATGGCGGCCATGGAGTGCAGGTAGGAGAGACGCTCCTGGTCCTCCTGGGTGATGGGCAACAGAGTGCGCATATTCCTGATCTCATGATTGATGTGGTCCCGCCGGGCTTTGGATGCTCCTTTGGTGGATCTGTGAGAGACCATGGTCATTGAGGTCAGAGGTTGGAAGAGAACTGGAGAAACTAAAGCCGGGGAGCTAAAGTTTTGTCTACTGCCACACTTCAAAAAATCTGTCTGAAGACATCCTCTTCCAAGTTGCAAAAGGGGGAAAAAAATAAAATAATGGCAAATAGAGTAATTGGCCTATACTGATCTAGCCTCTCTTTCACAATTCAGCCTGGAGTCTCTTCCCCACGAGCTGAAGCGGACTTTGAATATCAAGGGTTCCTATGGAAACTGCTGATTTGAGAGGCTGTCGAGTCTGCAGCAGAAATGAGGGCTCTCAATAGACCTTGTCTGTGTGATCAGTATCTGTCTGGGCCCATCCACAGAGAGCCTGGGGTTTTTATAGCTGCCAGGGCTTCAGCGTGGGCGTCACACACAAAGGGGAGGCTGGGCTTCTGCCGCTCCCTTCATTGCCTTATAGAGTGGGTGTCCTCGGAGTGGGTCGCCCCACGTCACAAGGACACAGAAAGTGCCACAAAAGGAGAATTATATCAGTTTGTATCCCAGCATTTTAACAATAAAGATCAAATCAAATTATATAATTGATAGCTTATGTTTGGGATTTTTACCAAGATATTAAGTCTGTCTATGGATAGAACAGGGAAATTAAACCCCAATTATACCACTTTAAATTCACACACACACAACACAAATTCCCACTGGTATTATTCTTTAAGTAATTTATCAAGACTGATGATGTTCTTGTAGGCTGATTCTGCAACAAAGCAACCCGATAGAGGCCAGTCTGTCCCAGCTTGAGTTTTTTTAATGCAGTAACAGCATCATTGTGGCTGGATTAGTATGTATCACATACAGTGCTAGTCTGCAGATTGGAGAAAACTGGATTAAGTGCTCCCTGCGGTGCGTGCACTGCAGGCTGCGGAGTTGGGTCTAAATCTTATGAACAGCCATGTGTTGATTCAGCCACTAGAGGACGCGGGGCAGAGAGGAAGAGGAGTGGACACTGACCTGAACCTCCTGTAGAAGGAGCTGCGGTGATCCTCGGGCAGATGAGAGGTGCACGGAGCACTTCTGTGACATTTGCAGGAGTTGCACCAAAGAGTCATTTTGCCGCTGATGTAGCCACCTAAGGTTAAAAAAAATACACAGGTATGAGACCCAGGAGGGATGTAATAAGTCCCGGGTAAAAACTGATCAAACAGAAAGTAGACCCCCATGTGAGGAGGAACTACCCGGCTTCATCCCCTACCTCTGCAGGATCCAGTCTGGGTGATGAGTGTCAAGCCCTCATGTGCGTCCCTCCTTTTATAAGCTCAAACCCGACACCTCTCATCCAACTCAGCCGGCAGGGAAGGAAAAAAAAACTCAAAATGGGATAATGTTACTTGTTGTGACGCGATGACAAACGATCGAGGCGGGTTATATTTAGTGAAATGAGCCCTAAAAATAACCCGTCAGATAGACGCAGGATCCGATTCGGTGAATTAAAGGGGTCTGATGTGTTAATAGAAGAAATCTTCCCGTGCGCAGATAGTCCGAAATATGTGCAAATATGATGTTAATTTGATAACATATATAATAGGTAATGTTGATTTTGTGGCCAATCAACAGTAGGCACCTGGCACTGATGTTGTATTAGCAGTGTTGCTTATTGAGGAAGCCATTTTTTTAGCACCTTATGAAGCTAGAGATAAACACTCATATAAGTCATTAAGAGAAAGCTTAAAGTCTTAATAAAGTGTTATTTTTGTTCATTCTTCCTGAAGCAGCTTTCATTCACACGTTATTAGCCCACAAACACACACAGACACTGAGGGACTATTTCCCAGGCTGAGGGCTTAGTTTACACCATGTTTTAAAAAAAATTGATTTTCACTCAAAACAGCCCTAACTTTTTTACGTTTTAGTGGTAAAGACACCACAAACCCTAGTGTTTTGTTGACATTGCCTTTCGGGGGGAAGTACTCCAATACTCAATTACAAATAAAAGTTCAGCATTTAATATCCTACTTACGTAAAGGAACAAAAGTATTATCCACTAGATGTAAGCTACTAAAAGTATCAAAAGTAAATGTATTTGTTTTGCATAAAAATGGCCCATGTGACTGATGTAATAAATTACATTATTAATACTGGTGCATCTGTGTGTAAGCAGCATTTTGTGGCTGCTTGAGGTGGAGCTGGTTTAATTACTATATATAAATATATATACAGTTAGTTTACTTCAGTGGTTCCCAATCCAGAGGTCTGGCCCCTCCAACGGGTCACAAGATCTAAAGGATCATGAGATGATTCATTGGAGATAAAATACACATCTGTGTTAATTTGGGGGATTTTTCTCTATTTTTCTCTATTTTTGTAAAATATTGGATCATTTGAACTGTTAAACCAAACAATGTTAGAGGTTTAAGGGAAACCTGTCTTTGGTTTAACTGCTAACTGCTCAGAAACATTTAAAACATGTATGTTAGGTATCTTTAACAATGTGTTATATTTTATACACTATGAAAAGTAGTAGTAGTAAAAGTAGTAACTAAATCCATCTAGTAAATGTAGTGGAGTAAAAAAGTAGCATAAAATTGAGATACTCAACTAAATAAAGTGCAGGTACCTAAATATTGTACGTTAGCACAATACTAAGTAGTACAATTACATGTATTAAATGTGTTGTTCTGACCTTATAAAAAACAAATAAGAAAAGTATTGAAGCATTAATTCTTCCCTTTGCCGCAAACAGAGCTTGCACATTTAGTGAAGGTGATATAAAATATAATAAAGCATTATCACCACACCAAATAAGGAAATAACTCATGTTTTCCATTATGCTACGTGGACTATGCAAAAATACACAGTATGTCATCTTACATAGTGACTTTAGATTCAATTATTCCCTGTTAGATCTCTTATGAACACACTTTTACATACGTGGAACATAATGGAAATCTACTGTATGTATGTAACCATGTTTTACAGCTGAGACCACACACAGAAGTAATGTGTAGTTTTCTGTAACAGACTCCTGAAACTGGTCAACAGTTCAAACAGGGCCCGGGGTCTTCAGGACCCCAATCAATACATTAAGTTTAAAATAGTTGAATTTACCTTCAGTATGAAACTTTTCTTATCATTCTTCTTCTCTACATTTCACTATTAAATATCAGTTTGCTTTACGGTTTTATACACATTGGAAAAAGTGATGTGTACTGTATTATCTGCCTTACTCTATCGTACCTCGTGAGAAAGTGAAAATAAAATCTATTTTCCTTGTGGAATATTAAATAGAAGCATTGACACTTATCTGTAAATTATCACTGCATGACTATTACCTTTTTTTCTGATAATGGTTTTGCAGTGAAACAACCTGACGTCAATGTGCCCACTAGGTTGGCTGTAAAAAGCACTGAGACAACCAGCCCCCGTCTCCCCTACACATACAATAGTTAAAGTCAGTAAAAAATAATATCACACAATAATGACATGGAAGGTGAAACACTGTAAGAAAAGAGGCATATAACAGTTATTTTTCATTAGGCACTTTGAAAGTTAACACAACAGCCTGAGCTGACAGCTTCAGAGTCATTATCATTCAAGTCTGAGCAGAAAACCAGCTTGCTGCATCATTGTTTAATTTCTGAACAGACTTCTGAGGCAGTCATCTATGGCAGTTTATCTTCACAGGGCTTTAACTGCGCGTGTATTAGTCACTCAATTAAACCCCAGTTGGAAGGGAATTAAGCTACAGGTCTGCAAACATGACGCACTGAGGCTGAGAGGCTCGGTCACTCACACAAAATCACTTCCTTTAGCAGATGAATAGATTACAGGCATCACAAAACATGACCAAGGCACACAAGAAACCCTCTATATTTCCGAAAGGCTGCCACTTATCCTAGAGGAGTTACTTTTGGGAGCATGCCTGCATGGATAACTGAAGTCCCCCTGTTTCTCAGTGTTTTGAAATAGTGACTTGTTGCTTTCTTTTGTATCATTTGTGAGTATAAGTTATACAGCTATGTAACTATCCTCTAAGGGCTCGTGCTCCTTTAATGCCTCTTTTCTCAAATCCCCAATTTAGTGGCCTCAGCAACGCTGGGAGCAGAGACCTAGAACTTGAGTGAGGGAATTGCACAGGGTTGGGGGGGACAAGACAAAACAAATCACTCTGAACAAATCCTCAGTCAGATTCTCAAGGGCCAGTGGGAACGTCTGACTCCTGAAGGGAAATTAGAGAGTCATTTGGGCTGCATTAGCGCCTGCATTTGCTGGGCCGAGGCAGGCTCCAGGGCCAGACAGAGGGACCCAGCGTGGCCCTGTTTCCTGTGTACGGCGGGGCCAGGCGGGACAGGGTGTCTCTGCTGCCTCACTTTAAGCTGACCCTCCGTCTGTGGCTTGCACTTAACACTGCAGATAACACTGGCTTTATAGCACGGGGCTGGTGACAGACAGGAACAAACTGCCAGGCCGCTACTGGTAGCAGAGGCAAAGATTGGAGCTGGGGTTCAGGGTGAGACACTTTCTAATGATGGGACCCCCCCAGAGCAGCCGCACGCGTCCCATTAGGTAGTCTGTCAGTCAGTCGGGGGGGGGTTGGGTGGCACCATGGCTTCAGAGTACCCACTGAAGTAGACGGTGAGGGCTATCAGACAGGCCGGCTGGGGTAGAGTCAGCTCTGGATTTCAGCAGGAAGTAGAAACTGGGGGACTGCAGGGTTCAAAGACCTGCTATTAAGTGCCATGTACAGTAGCTCCAAGAGGAGTCCACACTCCATAAAGAGGTGGAAATTAGACACATCTGGCTTGGCTTAACCAATTCATTGAGTCTGAAATGAATGTTGATGTTACAAACTCATTAACAAATGACTACTCATGAAGTTTTGTCATGATTATCATTTATGATTTTCAGTGTGCCATCTGATTTTGACTTCCACAAGTCCAACTGTGTGCAATGAAGTCATCATGATTGTGAGCTCATCCATGTCAATTATTTTCATTTACTCAGAGGCTTATTGTTTGTCGTACTCGCCGACACAAGGTGCCCAGTGTAGAAAAGGGGTGTTGGACTTCAATTAGGTTTGGTTTTGTATTTCAACAATAAATTTTAACTTTATTCATTCCTAGAGGCTGAGCAACTCATCTTTCGATATCCTCTTTGTGTGTTTAGTAAAGATTTTATTGTTGGAGGGCAGCAACTTTCTCCCTGCTAATGACACAGGACAAACTACACAAAAAATAACCAATTCCACACCTCCTCTGGAGCAGTCCTCCATGTTACCCTTTCTTTTAGGTTTATAAAGAAACATCTGTGTGTCAGGTTGAGGTGGTAAGTCATAGTGCAGTTGGTGCAGCTTCGTGCAGCTTGCTAAGTGTTACATGCAAAATAAAAAGCTTATTTTAGCATTTTTCAACCTTGCTATTAAATAAGACTGTGGAAAAAATTAATCCAACTGATTAAACGACAAATTCTAAGGTATTTAATTGCCTGTTGGGCTTTGGCTAGCATTTTGACACCCCGTGGTGCAGAGTGTCTATTTGCACTGGCAAAATATGGATGTTTTTGTCTTTCCAACCTTGACTGTGATGCATCAGAGTGCACGAGTGTGGTCAGTTCAGTGTTAACCAAACCCAAACAGCTTTAAAAATCATTGACCTTAACAAGTTCTGAAAACAGAATCTGTATGCAAAGAAAATGAATGTATACCAGATTTAAAATAGACACAAATGTTACCAACTCAAATTGTCTCAGATTTATTATTGATACAGTTATAAAGCATATTGCACAGGAAGTCCTGACCACCTTGACGGATACAGAGTCCCCTCTGAAAAATGTGTAAAATATAAAATAAAAACAGTGAGCAAAGGGAGCCTGCACAGTTGTAAAATTAATCCAAATACACTCCATACTTTGTTCCGGGTTTTTTTTTTTCTTCCAAGCATTGATTGTTGTTTATGAATAATTTAACCATCTACTGTAAGCCCTGAAGACAGAATAGAATATACTTCTTGGTATGAAATCAGTCCAGTCCAAAACTTCTGCTTGGCGAATAATTATTTTTTCTAGGTTGGCAAATGCGGTTTCACCCTGTGAAGTTTAATCAACTATTTGCTAAAACCGCCTTACAAAGTTAAATGAAAAATAATAGAGGAGCGTCAGAAACTGAAGTTTTACATCACTGCCATTAAAAATGTAATGCCAATATGTTTTAGGCAAAATCACTACCACTTGTCATTAACATTGCCTTACTGGAGGTAAGTGAGTGGTCATCACTGAGGAAATTTGTTGTGCAGGTATTTTATTTTTGACCATAGTGTCTACATTGTCATTTACTTAATATTTACTTCATGTCATTTTCCTGAAAAGTTCTTGACTGAAAATACCACCACCCATAATCTTCACACGCAACAAGAAAAGGACCAAAATCCTAAAATAAGAATGACTTCCACACCACACATTAGAAAAAATAAACAAATAAACAAATATCATCAGTTTGCAGACGGCAATTTGGTGTTACATAAACAGTTTGATTTGTTCACAAGTAGGTTTGAACACACAATTAGCTTCCCTGTGGTTTCACTGCATTAGCTGTTGTATAGTCCAAGTAAATGGGGTACTGAGGAATATCAGGTATGTGATATGTCCGTGTGTGTGTGTGTGTGTGCGTGTGCAGTGTAGAGGGCATAAGACTCGTCACATTGGCACCACCGGTCTGTAATTAAAATTCACACTTGGTTTGGGCAGGCAAACGTCTCAAAGTCTGGAACTCTAGGCGAAAAGCAGCATCGACATGTCTCCTCTCTGTAAGGCCTGACATGCCACGATTGGCTTTAGTGCAGTTATCTGGTGACTTTAACCTGCATTTAAGATTGTTTTACACTGCTTCACATGAAATACACAGATTTTGTAAACATTTATGGTGTAAGTCAATGTTATCCAATCCTGATGTTTGGGACCCAGAGCCCTGCAGGGTTTCATTCTAACCAGCTAATTGGGGACTGATACAGATTAAGTTGAACTATCTGGCAGGACAGAAAACAACAGCACAAATGGTCCCAAAGACCAGGACTGAAAAGCATTGATGCAGCTCACAAGTGTGTGGTAAAACAGTTCCTATTCACATCAAAAGAAATAGGCAGTATAAATAAAACTTCTGCCTGTATATTCATCCTCACCAAGTCATTACTTTCAATGTCATGTCATATTACTACTATTATTGTCATTTATAGGATTAAAAAGATAAGTCTGGTGATATTTTGTATTTTTGTTATTGTCAACAAACCCCATAAAAAAAACCCCAAAACAACCTAACAAGTATTCTATCCAAAATACACTCTCCTGCTGCCGTAAGGACTCAAATAACCAAATCTACAACTGACAAAAGTCCCTAACAAAATCTCTATTTGCTCCTGTTACAGTAACAATTGTTAAAAACTACAGTGCCCAGCTGTTTTAAGGTAGGTTAATGTTAACAGAACAAATTGTAGGTCTTGGTCTTTTTATATGATTTGTTGACTACATTAAAAAGAAAATACAGAATATCCCCAACTTTATGCTTTACCTAAAGTGGATGGAGATAAAAGGTTTAAAAAAGACCACCACCACTCGTGTGATTTCAAAGTTTTGTTCTAAAATGTTTAATTAGTATTAATAAAATAAAACCACACAACCTGAATAAACATCCCCAATTTGAGCTATTCCAACTAAACCTTAAGCTGTTTGGTGAGTGTGTAATCTAATAAACAGCCCTTATGCTTTTCTAACATCTGCTCAGGAGTAGCTTTGCTCGTGGTTGTACACAAACACATCCACACTTTCCTGGGGGTTCACTGCACTCTGAATGAGCAGGTCACGAGGAAGAGTCTCTGAACGCTGTAGGATTGTCTAGAGGAAACGACTACATTATGCATATTAGTGATGATCTCCCACACAACAACAGGCAAACCGAAGCAGGTGGGCTGGGATTACGTGTAGACGGGACCACGTGCTTACACACATACACAGTATATATTTGCATCATGATCCCCTTCTACATTTGGCACTGAAAAAACAAACTGCAGGGTAAAGGTAGGTTGGGGTGGCGGGTGAGTCTCACTCTTCCTGTGGCGCTACGGAAGAATACAACAGACAACCACAAATACAAACTTCCCTGTGAAAAGGCTTTTTTTTTTTCTGGTGGGAAAGTAGATGTCCAATGTATGGGAAGTCTTTCTAACGACTCAATGAGACATGCTATTGAGGGAGGTAGATGGACTTGATTATTTTACAAGGTGGACAGGCAGCTTGCTTCAGTCGCCTTGAAATCACCTTTGAGACACTTAAGAGCAGTGGGGTGCTAGCCAAGTTATGGTGAAGTGGAGAGAAGGGTAAGCATTGAAAGCCAGTCAAACAGAACTTTTCACAAGCATAACGTCCCTAAAAATCTTGTACCACAATACGCCGTCTCCTTGCATTTAACACCAAAGTTATAAATTAACCCCATCCACTTCGTATATTGTGTACATAACTTAATATGCTGCAAATGGACATGGTAGTTTTTACATGGTTTTATGACCATGTTAGAGCTGCGAGATATACAAACTCATGACCATCAGTCTCTTCGTATCTGTAACAGAAGGTTCACATTTGTCTTTTAGAGGAGATCTGTTGAGTGTGACATCAGGGTGACATCCTCAACAAAGAGGTTAGCTCTCAAGACCTTTGGCTGAAGTTCTTGTCTCTTCCTGTGCTTAAGATTAGAAGTCTATGATTATCATAGGCTGATTGGATTTCTAGAGAGACTAGAAAGAAGAGAAAAAAGGTGTCAACAATTTCTGTCTCATGTAACCAGTGTCTTAAGGGTTAAAACATCCTTTCACAAGAGAAAGCTCACGGTGTCCAAGGAAATCACACGCAATATAGTTTGGTCAGTGATGAGTTTTCACTTGAAGATTGTGGAAAATAAATCCGATACAGATCCAAACTCTACAAAAACCAGTCCGCCGGAGCTCGGTTGATTAGAAAGATAAAAGCCTAGTGTCCTGAAACAGAGCGAGGAGTTCTGGTTCTGCTTCACATTCAGCTGTGTCAACCGTGTGAGGAGAAGATGGGCCTGCTGATGTTGCTGTTGGTGGTCATGGCGGCAAGTTCCCATCTGGAGTGAACAACAGAAAGCATGTGTAAGAATCTTAGGGTACACATTCACAATAATTAGTAACAGTTATTAGTCCAGACTGTAACTGGACCTAGTATTGTATAAAAAGTGATCATCAGATAGAAACAGCTTAAAAACATGCAATAAGGCCCATAAACATTATCTTAGAGGTGTGTGGTTTTATACATTTTATCATTTCACTCACTTTTTTTTATTAAATAACTGCCTAAATAGAAGGGGCAGGAGTTACCATGGTTACCAAATGATCTTGCATAAATAGAGGTAATACATCACTTGTTCAGATTATTCATAAGCGGTCACAATCCTGATGATTTCATCAACTTTTTTCTGATTTAGAAACATCTGATGGTTTGAAATCCAGCCAAGATGCTAAAATTGTACCTCAATGACACTCAATTAAGTCTCTCTGCTCCCCCCCCTTGTCTGACTGAAGGGCTACGATGTGGACTAGGGAGGGCCCTGCTGTAACACGAGAACCAGGAGCAGGGGCTGACAACAGGGTCTAGTGCTGACCTGCTGACAGGTCAGAGGTTGAGCTTCAGATTGTTATCACTGGCTCTGGTTTCACACTCACTCCCTCTCAATTGCTCTGTTCGTTTTTTTGTTGTGCACGTGTGTGTTTAAGAGGGGAGACTGGCATTGGAGCTGGACATGCCAGTGAGGGGCAAAGGGAGTTAACCAGAGTCTTGTGACCCCACCAGAAAAAACCCTTTAGGGTTAGAAACGCAACTGCAAACACTGAAGTGGGGAGTGTGCAAGGTGGCAGTGACAGTGTGAGAGAAATGAGAGGCTAAGAGGAGTAATTAGTATCAAGTTGCATGGGGTCCACTTGTAAAAAGAAAAAGAATCACATTAGTGCATTTCAGATGCACTTGTCTAATGAGCTATATTAGCTTTACTAGGACTATTACTTAGGTTATTTGAGAAATGGTTATATGCTTGAAATGGATGTGTCAGCATTATTCTATAGGAAGCTAGATATTATGCTCTATATTACTGGGAAAATACATAGATTTCAAAGAATGTGAACCTG